ATCTATTTAATTTACCACCGCGATCCTGTATTCACTTACCTGAGAGTAAGTTCCACTGAACTAACTCCGCGGGGCTTACTTTTCATATAGACTGTAATTTGTGTGAAACCGAGAGTACACCCCCGGCCTTCTAGCCCCCCCCCCATGTATAGTATCCCTCCCGGTGCGGTTTAATTCGGACTCGGCGTCAATACTGCGCCCCCTCTTCTCCTTCGGCCAGCGCTCAGAGACATAGTCCAGAGAAAGGTCGCCCCGTTTACAAGGGCCCCCCTTTCAACTCCGCAGCGTTTTTGTCGCAAAGTTGTATGCATAATATTTGCGTCTCGGTGTTTTTCTTAGAGGTAAGGTGCTTCCCCCTCCCCTCCCGACGAAAAGCCGCTTTGGGATCTAAATAAGGGCAAAGAACGGGAGGGGAGCCGGAGAAGGTGTAAGCAGCTCTCTAGTATGTGAGAGAAAGAATTTTAGAAATCCTTTTTTTTTTTTACTACAGCTCCCATAATCCCCAGTCCATCCGTTGCCTAGGGATTATGAGAGTTGCCATCTAGACCCTAGAGAAGGTCTCTTGCGCGTCTAATCGGTTCTGCCAGGCTGGCAGCCGGCTGCTTCGGGACCCGCCTGCACCTGTGCTACGTTGGATCGCTATTTTAAGGGATCCTCCTACAGCCGAGGCGGAGCTGCAGGTTCTCTCTAGATCCCCTGGCCCGGGAGAGTCAAGCCGATCGACCACAAGGAGGCTTCCTCCTCGTCGGTTCGACGTGGGTCGGAGGGGCAGGTCGCTTTTCGGTGGCAAAGGCATTGACCCGCACGGTGCAGGAAGGGACCGGTTTTGCCCTGGAAGCGTCCAAGACGGGATTGGGTTGCAAATTTTCGAGAGCGAGCGAGCGAGATTATTTTTCTGTTGAACGATTTGGAGACAGGTTTTTAAACCATGTCTGATGAAGTGGATTTGTCCACGAAAGCTCGCATTTAAAAATATAAAAAGTTAGTCTTAATTTTTTTTTGTTTTTGATTCTTTTTTTTAATTTTTTACTTCTATTTTGCTTTTGCCTATAATGCTTGCACAGACTAACACGGCGACTCCTAAATGCTTCTCTGGTCGTTTTGGCTTGAAACCCAAAGGAGGTTGCTTTCAATTCAACCTTTAAAATAAGCCGCTAGTTGGGTTTATCTTCGAGCTCACCTCGCGGCCTCCCTCCCCCCCGCCGGAAACTTTCCGTTTAACCCCTCGCTTCTCGCTTCCTTTGATCAGTTCCTTTTCCCGTGATGGGATTCTCCTCCGGGCATGTTATGACATTCTTCGTATCACTTGAAACCCAAAGGAGGTTGCTTTCAATTCAACCTTTAAAATAAGCCGCTAGTTGGGTTTATCTTCGAGCTCACCTCGCGGCCTCCCTCCCCCCCGCCGGAAACTTTCCGTTTAACCCCTCGCTTCTCGCTTCCTTTGATCAGTTCCTTTTCCCGTGATGGGATTCTCCTCCGGGCATGTTATGACATTCTTCGTATCACTGCCTTGGTTGGTTGGTTGGTTGGTTGGTTGGTTGGTTGGTTGGTTGGTTGGTTGGTTGGTTGGTTGGATGGATGGATGGATGGATGGATGGATGGATGGATGGATGGATGGATGGATGGATGGATGGATGGATGGATGGATGGATGGATGGATGGATGGATGGTGAGGTTTTGAGCCCGCTAGCTCCGCGCCCAGACCATACCCGTTTGGAATCCTAAAGTCCCAGGCCAGGTTGCATGTGGCCATCATCCGATTAGGATTGGAGAAGCAACCCCTGCTAGGTCCGGAGTGCAAGCACCTGCCGGCAGCGAATGCAGGAGAGGAGGAGCTGGCACGGGTCTGGGTTTAAGGCAGCTTCTCCCGCCCCCGCCGCCCCCCCAGCCCCATCGCAGGAGGTGGTGGCTTCGAGGATTTTAAAGATGAGACCCAGGGAGGAAGGAAACGGCCAGCGGCAGAAAGCCATTTGCTTTTTCCCCATAAAGAGCTTCCCCGTGTTAATGACCCCCATCCTTGGAGGGAGGCCAGGACTGGAACTGCGGCTTTTCTCTCCGGTTTTCAGGATCTGGTCGGCCACGGTGGGAAACAGGATGCAAGCTTGTGGGTCCAGCAGAGTTCTTCTTCTTCTTCCGCTGTCCTTTAAGGGCATGAAAGGCTGCGATTCGGAGATGACGGTGAAGGGTTGGAGAAGGGCCACTAAAAATCTCACCTCCCCACTTTCTCCCCCCCCCTTTTTTTTTGAGCACAGTTTAAATCTGCCGTTTTTTCACTTCCGAGGCCAGCCTTTCCCATCCCCTAACCGCCGCCCGAGGATCGCAGCCTTGTAGGGCTGCTAAAGGGTGCCACCTCCCCTCCGATGGGGACCCAAGCTAAGGCTGCATTTTAATATGTTCCCAGCCCGCCCTTGAGGGCTCCAGCCGGTCCTCGGAACTCTCCCTTCCCTTTTCTTTTCTCCATCTTGTCACTAAATATGTTCCTTCGGAAATCCGTTCCGTGGATTCCCCCCCACCCTCCTTTCCCTCTGCGGTTTTTGCAACAGCCCTGCCTTTTTGGCAAAGACTTCTGAGGCTTCTTGTCCGTTAGCGGTGGAGGAACTTGTTTCCCCAAAGCTTGATGCGGTTGCAAATCCGATTCGGGCGGCGGCGGGAGGGGGGTCGGCACCACACACACACACACACCCGCCCGGGAAAATGTGACTTTCCTTGGACCACAGCGCTCGGAAACCCAGAGCCACCGTATATGGGATTCTGCGCTCCAAAACGGAACTTTCCCCCCATTTATCAATATTCTCTAGACTTTCAACCTAGGCAGGCTTCCTGCATTATCCGAAGCCCAGCCGAACTCAGGGAGATGCAGGTTTGGCTGAAGAAAGCACACAGGAGAGGAGACCCTGGGCTTTTTGCAAACGTTTTTTTATGGGAAGCTCTTTAGATGATCTGGAGGAGAGTCGTCGCTTGGCGGGGGTGGGCGGGCGGCGAGTGGCTCCCTTTCCCTTCGGGCTCTGCTGTCAGGCATGGGCGATGAGACCCTCATGAAAAAGGACGAAGAGGAGGACGCGGGATCCCTCCAAAACAAGGAGAACGTTTATTTTCTTTGCATTCGCCAGTCGATTCACCTGTTTCTGGCGCCCTGGGACGCTCACTGGCCCAGGTGCCCTGTACGGGTTACAGCCCTGAAATGGAGTAACAGTCTAACAAGTATTAGTCATTTAACCTGATAGGGTCGGTTTTCAATGTAGCTCCTCGTTTATCATCCCGTTATAGGTTTGCCTAGAACCAGAATTTAACGGACCCGAGGCCAAGACGCACAGGCACTCTCCGTCCTCTAGAGCAGTGGTCCCCAACCTTGGGCCTCCAGATGTTCTTGAACTACAAATCCCAGAAACCTTCATCACCACTTCTGCTGGCCAGGATTTCTGGGAGTTGAAGTCCAAGAACATCTGGAGGCCCAAGGTTGCTCTAGAGAAGCCCCACTGAACCGAAGGAGGCTAATTCATACGCCAAAGTGCAGAGGATGGGGGTTCTTGTTTTGATGGCATTCCAAAATGTCTTGGACAGGGACAAAAGCCGGAGCAACTGGGGAATTTTGTTACCCCATTCATTGACTCGTTCTTATTAACTTTTTCCCATTAAAAGAAAAAAAAATTCTTAAATTACACCGCTTTAAAAGTCGAAAGTTTCCTTTTCTCCGACCTGTCAAAGGAAGTGCTCTGGGGGCAGTAAATTAATGCGATCGCCTTGGTTTGGCTATTTTAATGGGGAATGTAAGAACCGAACCCGCCAAGCATCCCTCTGATGCCTTTCCTGACAGCTCCATGTGCTCCTATCTTTTGTAAAGAAAGTAGGCGGGAGTTGAGTGAGTGGTAGGGGCGGGGCTCCTGGTCCCCGCCCCCTTCCTGCTCCGCCCCCTGCCTCTGCCTCGATCTCAGGCTTTGCCGCGCCTCCATCCTCTGATTGGCTTCGCTCGCTGCCATTCCACCGCCCTTGCGCCACTCCCACCCCCTCGTCTGCGCCTCTGCGTAAATAAAGTTTTTAAAAAAATCAGTATGTATCCGCTGACAGTTTTGGCTGGTTTCAGAAGCGTAAAGCGGTTGGAAAGAGGAGGGTGCGAGAAAATCTGGCCTTTTGCGTGCGATTGTTGGCACGGCAGGAAATGAAGGGGAAATGAGAGTTTTTTTGTTTGTTTGTTTTTCTGCAAAGGAAACCTGTTGAAGCTTCTTTTGCGCTCAGGCGCTCAAAGTGAAACAAACACCCCCCGCCAAGAGCGGTGGTGGATTTTCAAACTTTTTTTTTTTTTTAAAGATCTTTCAGGGAGGGAAGAGAAAGCGAGGTACCCTGCAAGAGCTTCGCTGCAGCGGTAGATGCGAGGTTTATTTTGTCTGATCCGCGTTTATTTTGACTGGGCAAGCCAAGAGGCCGCGACGGGGGAAGCTGGGCTGCCCGAAGCGCTCCGCCCGTGAGCGGGAGGCACCGGAGGAGCCCGGCTGGTTTGCGCGGCTCCGCGGGAAGCTTCCCTTTTTGGCCGCCCCCGGGGAGCTTCGCCATCTCCCAGCCAGAGCGCACCGGAGATCCATCCGGACAGTGGCTCCGGCGCTGGAAAGGACTGCTGGCGGGGAGCAGCGGCGGCAGGAGCGGGAGCAGTAATCAGCAGCCACCGGATCGGATTTCTCTCCACCCTGGGAGGAGCCCTCCGAGAGAACGGGAGGCGAGGGGGCCAGCCCGGCGGAGGAGAGCGCGCGCGTCTCGGCTCGCCAGCGGCGCACGTCGGAACGACCCCCGGTCGCTCCTCTTCCCTCTCCTCCTCTTCCTCCTGCTGCTGCTGCTGGCCTCCCCGCCGCCGCCTCCCGCCACCCCTAACGCCCGCTGTTGTGATGCGTATTCCCGTAGACCCCAGCACCAGCAGGCGCTTCACACCTCCCTCCACGGCCTTCCCTTGCGGCAAGATGGGCGAGAACAGCGGCCCCCTCGGCCCGCCGGCTCCCCCGGGAGGACCTCGTCCTCCTCTTCCTCCTGCTGCTGCTGCTGGCCTCCCCGCCGCCGCCTCCCGCCACCCCTAACGCCCGCTGTTGTGATGCGTATTCCCGTAGACCCCAGCACCAGCAGGCGCTTCACACCTCCCTCCACGGCCTTCCCTTGCGGCAAGATGGGCGAGAACAGCGGCCCCCTCGGCCCGCCGGCTCCCCCGGGAGGACCTCGCAGCCGGCCCGAGGCGCGCTCGGTGGTGGACGTCCTGGCCGATCACCCGGGCGAACTGGTGAGGACCGACAGCCCCAACTTCTTGTGCTCGGTGCTGCCTTCCCACTGGCGATGCAACAAGCCCCTCCCCGTGGCCTTCAAGGTAAGCCGGGGGCAGGGGTGGACGGGGGCGGGCAGGGGCAGGGGAGGGGGCCCGAGAGGGAGAGGAGCCGGACGGAGGGGCGGGAAGGTGGGAAGGGGGTGGTGGTGGGGGGGAAGAGATGAGCAGATGTTTCCTGCCCAGCTCGCTTTCCCAAGCGCCGGGGAGAAGGAGCGGTTTAACGGAAAAGGCAACGGGACCAGGGCGTTCAGGAGGGGGCAGGCAGGGCCTCCGGGCACCTCGGCGTTTCTCCTTCCGAGGGGGCAAAAACACAGCATGGAGAGTTTCCCCCAACAGCACACTTGGCAGAAAAATCCAGAAATCCGAGCTCCAGGCGAAACCTTAGAGAGGAATCGCTCCTTAATAACCTGTCGTTCTACTCCTTGCAGTTAATTCCCCCGTTCCGCTGAACCTCTCCAACTTAGTTTTGAGAAAGCGCCCAAAGGATCGGGCCGCGGACTTTGGGCCAGAGGCACCGTGAGCTTTTTTTACTTCCAGGCTCAGCAGGCTGGTGCCGCGATCCTATCCGCGCTTAATAAGGAGCAGCGGCTTCAGAAAAGACCTCCGGGCTTGCTTCTCCTGAAAAGCCTCTAGGTTTTGGTTTGTCGGGTGGAAAGACTCCCGCTAGGGTTGTTTTGAGCGCAGCAGCTTTTCCCCCACATAGGGCCGCACACTGACACGCTCCAAGCTCGGAAACGCCGTAATTCTGAAATGTCTGTTAGGGATGCTGCCTTTTTGAGAACAACGAAAAGGCCACGAGCAGTGTGTGCAAGCTTTCGACATCTCCAGATCTCTTCGTCGGGCTGCATGTTGCAAAAGCCGGTGCGTTGTGGGTGGAGGAAGAGAGAAAAGGCATTTAATAAAAGTTGAAGTTGTAATGTCTAGGTAGTGGTCCGAGAGAGGGGAGGAAGAGTGGGCAAGCTGTAAAACACACCCCAGCCTAAGACTGTTTCCGGACGGCCCCTAGAACTTCTTTATTACCCAGGTAATTTGCAGTAAAACAAATACTGTACGGTGGAAGCTACACGGACATTATGATGAATAAAAACAGCGAATAAACGCCCTGTCAGAAATGTCGCTGTGGACCCAGCCACACACCTCCACCTGTTTTGTGAAATTGTTTTTGCTGGCTGTGTGCACCCACAAAGTCTAGGATATTTTAGACGCGCGCCCCCGTGACAAAGTGAGGTTCCAGCCATCTGATCGACATGTCCCCACGCCCATCCAAAAAACGAGGGAAACATGTATCCATGGAATCTAGCTAGTCCAGCCTCACACCGGATTTTGACTGTCTACCAAGAGATAACTTTTTGGCGAGGCCGGGGGATGTCTTTGCTTGCAACGGAAAAGGGAACCAAGGATACGTAAATAAGAAATCCATATTCCAACCTCTGAGTGTCCCTGCCTAGCTCAGACAAAAAAACATCTTGCATTTTCCGAGTAGAATGCAAAAAAGAGCAGTGAAATCAATTCAGAGAAGCGAAGTTCCGTATTCGGCCATGCCTCTGGGGAATGACTAAACAGCTCTAATAAAAAAGCGAGCTTTGCAGCTCTGCAGAAATCTTTATCAGGCAAAGGTGGTGTGCAAGGGGGGGGGATTCAAGGAAGCTACTAAACCCCCCACATTTTATACCATCTCTACCAAACGAAGAGTTCTGTAGAACTCCGAAGCTCACTTTATTCGTAGCTGTTTAGTGTCTTGGAACCTCAAGTTTTATGCCATCTTTGCTTGCCGAAGGGTCCTGTGGAACTCTAAAGCTGGTCTTATTCTTTAAATAAGGTCATCGATCGTAATTCTTAATGGAAGCATTTATTACGGTTGGAAAAGAGACCAAGATCTAGAGGCGTCCTGTGTAGTAATGAAAGCAGTAACGGGCACCACAAGATATCGCCGTACTCAATTCTCATGCTGATTTTCTATACTATTAACGAGGAAGATCCAGCTGCCCTCGAGAAAATAAATGTCCGGCCTCCTCTCACTCTCAGGCACCCACCCACGCCATTACTTTGACATCCCACAGAAACCAGCACCCCACCCCACCCGCTCCGTCCAGGCCGTAGGGGAAGTAAATCCGATCCCTCGCCTGCCATCCGTGTGTCTCCCAAATCAGGCAGCAATTTCATAATCAAAACCGTGCGCTCTGCTTCTGGTCGGGAGGAAGCCCACCTTCCCCGCTCCTTTCCCGGGTGGCTTTAATGTTCAAAATTGATGCCAGCCTTGATAATTTGGAACTGCTGCCATTTAGATGCTACTGTCTGCAGCAGGCCCGCGCCTGCCAGTGTTCAGGGTGACGCGAAATCTCACCCTTACCTAAAGTATGTGGAAGGAAAATCCATGGCACAAGGTCCAAGGAAACTTGGGAGAGCAGTGATTTGGGTATATTTCTGGAGCCTCCTTTGCATTCACTACATAGGATACAACCTGCTTTTTTAAAAAATTAAACCGAGAGACGTCCTCCCTTTTTAAATTAAACCCTCCCTTTGAACGCTCTTCGGCGGAGAAAACAAGAATCTCCACGGACTCGCCTCTACTTATGTCTAATTAAAAACTGTAAGGTCCTCGGGGCAAGGACCTGCCTCTCGTTTATCTCAAATGGGAAAGTTCTCGGGTGAGGCTGTCATAACGCGTCCTAAAGTATAAGCGCCACAGGGTCTTCATGGAGTCGAGGCCAGGCTGGCATCCTAAGCCCCACTTCTCTAGGGACTTTGTTCCTCTATATTTTATGGGTCCTTCGTTGGGGGCGAGCCTGCCGGGAGGCCGTCTTGACCCGCATAACTTACGCGAAAACTTAAGCCACTTACTTACTTTCGCCTTCCCGCCCCAGCCTCCTTCGGTTACCAAGCTTCCCAGAGTCTTCCTTCTGGGTGATGCGCTCGTGGTTGTTGTTTTGTTTTGTTTTTTTGTTTTCCCGCAATTCCCCACACACACACACACACACACTTCCCCCACCACCACCGCTCCGGTCCCTGCGGGCGCTCAGCCTCCTCCTCTGATTGTTCCATTCAGTTAAAAGCGCTCAGGAAACTTTTTGAAGTTGAAAGGGAGTTAAGGCTAATTAACTAACTGGGATTTAAAAAGCAGAAAAAAGGAAGGGAAAAAAAAAAGAAAAGAAAACTTAAGGAGAGAAAGATTAGATCTTTAAGAATAAAGCAGAGCAACGCGGCGATATCTGATCAGCCGGGATCCCTTTCTCTCCTCTTAATAAGCGTTTGTTCTACTATTAATCTTACCCTTTAATGTTATTTTCATCTCATCCTTCAAATCGTGGTTCACAGATCACTTTTTTTTTAAAAAAAAAGGGAATTCTTCTTTTGATCTCCCGTGGTTTGCATTCAGCCCCTAAAAGGCACGAAGTGAATTTTCACTGGATCTCAGATGGATTTCTGGATACCGCCCCGAGAGCCTCCTTCCCACCCATCAAAGCTGTTCAAGTTGCATCCACGCCGCTGTGCGGGTGCTAGGCTATAGGATGCTGCTAGTTTATGTTGTGCAACCTCTTAGCAGACGGGGTCTTTTTAATGTGCAATGTAAGCAGCCGCAGCCCCTCCTCATAAGGTTGCAAAATGAGGAGACCTGCTTTTTGTAGTGTGTAACCCTTGGCAAAATCACGGGGGGGGAAGGAAAATAAATGAACGCTCCAAATCTAAATAGACAGAGATCGCTTTCCACTCTTAAGCATGTGTGAAGGGTCTCATCCTAAACAGAAGATGCGATCCTATGCCCAGACAGCTGCACGTCAGGCCTGCTGAATTTAAGAGGTTCACTTCTGTGTCAACTTGTGGAGAAATGGCACTCATTGTCCTAGTCCTGTATTTTGCACGCAATGAAGCCAACTCCCAAGTAAATGTGCATGTAAAGGATTACTACCTAGAAGTCATAATTACGTGGCTCTTGAGTAAGCACGGTCAAGATCCAGAGAAGTTTACTCACTGAAAGCGATGCTCCGTTTTGACTTCAGGTTGCTGTTTATTAATTTCAACGGGAGACGTTTCAAGCTCTCTCTCCACTTCCCTGTGGAACTGGAAGCTCTTGAATCCGGTTGGATCGGGTCCTGGGTTTTGACAGTTAACAGTGAGGAAGCTAGAACCGAGAAGGAAGCTAAGTCTGAAGAGTTAGGAAGAAGAATCCGGGGTGGTGTTGGAAATAACATTCGGGGAATACAGATGAATGTCTTATTAATAAAGAGATCTGTCATCGCCTAAGGAAATGAACAAACCACAACAAATCCAGCCTTGTGGAGTTGTAATCGGGTAGTTTTCTTCTTTAAAAAGGAAAGAATAATAATAATGCAAACATGGGAAGTGAAGGTATTTCAAGGAATAAAATTGGCAGACGGGAAATCTGGATGGTTACAGAATGGAAGATTTTTAAAGAGCCGTTTCAGGCTCTACTTACTTGAGCCTTGGGCGATGTTCCATGGAATCCAATGGGTTTTCCGTAATACCCCCTAAATCCTCTTTGATCATTCAGACCTCTATACCGTTTTCAAGTTACCCTGCTGTATGGAGGTTGCCTTTTTCGGAAATCCCTAGCCAGGGCAAGGGAACTGAGCGAAAAGAAGGAAGGGGCCGCAGCAGCTTGTGAGGAATCCTTTCTGATGTGTACCTTTTTGTATGCTTGTTTAAAGGAACAGCAACCAAACTAGGGCATAAATTAAAGAAAAAACTGGTGCCACAGCCTGGTCGAGGATTAGCTGTGAAAAAAGAGGGAACATCCTTTTTAGCAGGTCGAGGCCTGCATGCTCGACACTTTTACCTGGAAGCAACTCAACTTGAGTCAATGGGTCTTCCGTCAGACTTGACATCCCTAGGCTACCATTACCAGAATCATGCAGATATCTAATCGATGTTTGCTTGGTGCATTACGTTTGCAATAAGGACAAGCACAGAGGGATAGTTTCTTCCACAACTGTTACTGGAATAAAAAGCCCCCCCCTTTTAGCACCTATTTCCACCGCATGAAAACGTTTATGGGCATCTCAGTTGTCCTCCAAGAAACAACC